TGATATTAAGTTTATTGAACATCCCGAACATATGATAAAATTTTTTCTTTTGATCGAAAGTTAGTTCGTCTTATCATGGATCTTCTAGAAATGACCCTGGAAAGTGTTGTTTCGTGCTGTATCGTTCTAATCGTTTACGTTTCTTTCTGTTGGGGATTATTAACGTAACCGAACTGGAAATAATAGCTTCCCAGAATCATTTTTGCAGATTCATTCTATGTCAAGAGAAGTGACTCCAATTATGTTTCCCCAGCTTTATGCGAGTGCATATATTCTCATCCACCTTTGCCTCTTTCTCGACCTTTTTTTTCTTCTTCTTCTTCTTCTTCTTCTTTTTCTTCTTCTAATGTTGAAAGATCGTTTTAAGATCATTCGTTGGTAGACCATATTGTTCCCAGGATTATCACAGACAATTTCTACTCTTCATCTTCTTTTTGCTTGTCTTCTTCTTCTTTTTCTTCTTTTTCTTTTACTTCTTCTTCTTCTACTTCTTCTTCTTCTTTTTCTTACTGACCAGAATCTAAAAAACAAAGAAACGTTATTACCCCAAACTGTAAAGTGTAAAAATCCGTATAAACAACTAAACGCGATGAAACGTTAACCCCTTTGTTCCGGTTAAAATTATTTTTGGCTACTTGTTCGACGATGACGTCCGTCGAGAAAGTGTGGATGACATCCTTCGGATCCAAACGTTTTCACTCTTCTGTGTTACCATTTTTTAAAATTCAAGTCTCATTAATATCGCATGCCACAAGACGAAGCGAGCCGTGTACAATCGGTATCTTTTTGAAGAGAGACTCGTAATTTTTTTTCTTTTCTTGTTTTGTTTTTCATGCTTATTCGTGTTTTTTTTTTCCCTTGTCTTTTGTGCACATGCTTGCTTGCGTGCGTGCGTACGTGCCTGTGTGCGTGCGCGTGCGCGAGTGTTTTCTTTTTTTTTCTTTTTTTTTCTTTTTTTTTCATTTTCTCCTTAATAATTCGGTAAAAATATTCGGCCGAATAAAGTTGGCTTCTTATTTATCTTCACAATATTTATACTTTACAACGAACATCGTATCGGGTGGTTGTTAAAGATTAATGAGTTCCGAGATGGTACGAGCGTTCATAGTAGAAAACGTTCTCGTAGTAGCAAATGGGCAAAAGTAGTTCAACGAGTAAACATCGCTTATGTCCTCGAATATCGTTGTGTATCTTTGTGTTCGTCAAACGAGACGGAAGATGCAAGGAAGAATCTTCTCTCGTTTCCATCTTGTTCGGATATATGATACGCGTGGGACAGTATCGATGACGTATTCGGTATCACATTTGATTATTTAAAAAAAAAAAAAAGAAGAAAAAATAAAAAAGTGAGAGAGAGAGAGAGAGAGAGAGAGAGAGAAAGAGAATACGTAGGTGATTAACAGTAATTATCGATTATAATAATACGTCGAATCTTCCTTAAAGGAATCTTCCAATTTCTCAAGGACACGTGGCACTCGATGACGTCCAATAACGCCTACGATTCTGGATGTCGATCAAGTCCGTGTCTGGTGGCTAAAAACTGAAAGGAGAATGGCCAACTGTTATGATTTATAAATTACCTACGAGTCTCGAGTATTTTTGAATTCGAATCAATTCGCTCAGAGATTATCAAACGTTCGTACTTTCTGCGTCTTTTATGCGAGATAGATTCAGAAATTATCTTATATATATATATATATATCTTGATCGTAATAATTGGCAATGAAAAGAAATCGAAAAGAAAAGGAAACGACAATTTGGACATAGGAAGAAGATATAAAAAGAAAAAAGGAAAAGAAAAAAAAAAAAGAAAGTAAAAACAAAACAAAATGGAAAAAGAAAAAGAAAAGAAAATGTTAAGCTTTAACAAAAGGAACGAATTCGATGACGTGGCACGATCGTTCGCTCCAAGTGCGAACTCCCTGTTGTTGGATTCGTTCGGGTCCTTCATGGCTTTCTCCATTGTTACCAGACCACCGACACGTTACTCACCCATCATAAAGATAAGTCCCGTGAATTATGAGCCACGTAAGTAACGTCTAACGATAGAAAAGGCGCCCTCGGTGATCCATAATTTGCTTTTAACGCGCTAAATAATAACCCGGAGAATTGTATTTAAATGCGGAGACGGGTTTCGTATCGTGCCACTCACTACTCGTGCATGATTTCATGGAAGATGAATAATGCATTTGGAGCAGAGCATCTGGATTATGTCATATATACGTGTCTGCTCTCGCGAATCCGTAGAATCTGCTGGTAACGACTTCTCTCTCTTTCTTTCTCTCTTTCTCAAGTTTTAACACGATTAATAACGAAAACTACTTTCTCAGCATGAGATCGTGCTTTTCTTTTTTTTTTTTTTTTTAATCTGTCCTTACACCACTTCCATGAAATTATATGGTCATTTTTCAACACCGACGAAAAAGAGAAGAAAAAAAAAAGAGAAAGAAAGAAAGAAAGGCAGAAAAAGAAAAAGATGAAGAAAGAAAGAAAAGAAAAATCCCCCCTTTTTTTTTCCATTTCGAAGAGTATCCTTTTTGTTAAGGATTACGGATCCAATGGATCCTTCTTTGCGATTCTCCGATGATTTATGAAACTGACTGTACTGAGAGTGAACACTTACTCGGGTCTTTCTCTTGGGGAGGAAGGGGTGGGGGGGCTAGTCATGGCCGTTCGCGTGTCACGCACGCACGAGCGCGCGTGTGAAGGCGCGTAGGTCGGATCGGTGGTTCCCAGGGAACTCATGATCTACAATATTTTTCAAGTTTCCCAGTAACGAGGCCGGCGACAACTTCCGGT